CGAAGGGTCTAGGCCCGAAACGTCAGCTTTCCTGCTCCTCTGATGCTGCATGGCCTGCTGTGTTCATCCAGCTCTACACCTTGTTATCCCTCCATTCTATCCCTTTTTATTAATTTGGTGGGGTATTAAAGTATTCCTTCAGATTGTTTCCTTTAAATCATCCTAAAAACTGAATCCTGTGCAACTATTGTACATATGCGTCCAAAACATGGTACATTAATAATGATCCTAAGTTTCCGACTAGTAGGTGGCATGTTACTACTGTAATGGACTCTGTCAAATCAAACAAAAGTTCTATTTCTCTGGTATCCATTTTTGAAACTGGTTGTCAGACATATAGTTGTGTACTTTCTCATTTATTAGGTCTGTTAGTCCATTATTCACCATATTCTTCTGGTGGGATATATACAAGCACACACTGCATGTGAGACACAAAGAGGTCTCCAGATCCAGAGGAAAATTTGGGAGATTCAGATTGAACAGCATGAAATGGACAAGATGTCCATAGTTGATCCTACAGTGGGGCACTTGGTACTCACATTAATAGAATCTGATTGTTGATACATTTATTGACTCTATTCTTCATTCAACTGTACAATTTTCCCAAACGAGATAATTCATTTTCTATTTCACTTGCACATTTTAACGTACTACTTGATGCACAGGTCCAGTGAAGTGAGCTCTATCTCTACTGTTTCTTAGGCTTGAGTATCTTATGTTTGAGAATATTATAGAATGATTCATGCATCTATTCTTGGTGACAAGCATCACAAGTCCTACATAATCTCATTCCAACATTTTTGCTGTTACACATTTATACTTGCCCACAATTCTTTTTGCTAACATAGGGAATTTGTAAATATCATTGTGGCTCAAAATAGTTGATTTGACAATAACACAAGTTATCCCTGAGATGGATGTCCTTCTTAGTAATTTGTTCATCTTTCCTAACTCCTAATATGATAGTATTTATTCAAGCTTCTGATGAAAAAAAACCTTTAAAATAATCTAAACCACAGCATCTGATAAATTGTTATCCAATATCAAACTATATAGCATAACAATTAAACTCAAGTTATTAATTCCAATTATGTAAAAAGGAATAAAAGTTTTATTCATAAAAGATTAAACTAAACCATTATCCTAACGATATACATGTTTGACAAATGCATTTTACAGACTGGTCCTTGAGAATAATGAAATCTCTTTCTGATTTCTCACTTATGATGCAACAACCCACTAATTATTCTCCATTAATATCCTCAGTCCACACTAGGACCAAGTGTGCCTTGGTAACTGTTTAATAATGACAAGCAGTAGTACTCTTCATTCTGGACCAACAATGAACCATTGTGTAGAATCACAGTTTGTCTTCTGACTCCATCAGCACAGATGCAACACTGTTTCCACCTACAAATCCACATGCAATTAGTGATACAAGTATCAGCATCATGATGTCGTCTTTATACCTGTAAATCAAACAATGTATCTAAATTAATTATCAAATTTTGATCATTCTCCAATAAACAGATTAACTTAATGCCACCTTGTGTCTTTACATTTCTTTCTCCTCTTGTGTATTGTTAAAAAGCATTCAGATTGGCTTGCTTTGTCAACAATAGGAAAAGAGCCCCTCTGTTTAGATTCAAACACATGATGGCTGTAGTTTAACACCATAACATTCTCACTGACTTCATATTCAAACTGTTGAACCATTTTATCAAATCATTTCTTCACCTGAATTTGTGGTTTTTCAAACCTTTGGGCTACATCACGATTAGTGAAAAATAAAAACCAAAGAACTGCAGATGCTGGAAATCAGAAACAAAATCAGAAATTGTTGTAAAAACTCAGCAGGTAAAAACTCATGATCAAAATCAGAAATTGCTGGATCAACTCAACAGGTCTGGCAGTATCTGTGGAGAGAAAGCAGAGTTATGTTTCAGAACTGAAGAAGGGTCCCTGGGCTTGAAACGTTAACTCTGCTTTCTCTCCACAGATACTGCCAGACCTGTTGAGTTGATCCAGCAATTTCTGATTTTGATCATGATCAGTGACTTGGCTTGGCCAATTATGTTAGTCAGCAACATATGTTCAATATTCCCTGCACCAATGCTTTTTCTGTAAAAGGTAATCTCCTTTTACAGATTTCATTACCCAGTTATTACTTGGCAGCGGGACACTCCTCCATTAGAGTGTGTGGTAGAACATAGAGCTGTTATGTGCGCTGAAAGCACGGTTGTCATTAGTTTGCACAAAACAGTTTGAACAGCATTTTCAAAGTTCTATTTCTACTTACTAAGCACATGTTGACCATAGTTTCTAGAAATATAGATACAATATTTGTGTAATTCTCAGGACTTTGTAATGCTATCTTAGCTAAGGCCAGAATGGGGGAGGTGATGTTCTAGTGGTATTATCGTTAGCCTATTAATCCACAGACCAAGGTTCAAGTCCCACCATGGCAGATTGTGGAAATTAAATCCAAACAAATATGGAATTAGAAGTTTAATGATGACCATGAAACCATTACAGATTGTCGGGGGAAAAAAACCATCTGGTTCACTAATGCCCTTTAGGACAGGATATCTGTTGTCCTTACCCGGTCTAACCTGCATTTGATTCCAGACTCACTGTAATGTGGTTGACTCTTAATTGCCCTCTGGGCAATTAGTAATTAATGAGAAAGTACATTCTTGCTGACCCAGGGATGCCCACGTCTTGTGAATGAATTAACAAAAAGCACACCTAGAGAGGTTCCAGGGCTGGCCTACTAGAGTTACTGCTTTTGTTGCTGTATCATTCACAGGGCTTCTATATGAAAGTTTACCCCGTCATGTTATCTGGCTTTTCTTTATATAATGTACCAAAAGAACTATCTGGAAGTGAGCCCATAAAGGAGTCAATACTGACTTCAGTGCTGTACCTGAAATGAACATCTTGGCCTAAGGTGCAGCTAGTTCTAGCATACAAGTCTTCAGTACTACTGCTGAGATGTTGTTAGGGTCCTTAGCTTTTATTGTGGACAACACCTTCAGCAATTTCTTGATCACATGGAGTGAATTGAATAGGCTGAATACTTGAATCCGTGATTTTAAGAATCTCAGGAGAAGCCGAGACGGATCGCTCACTCTCATTTCTGGCTGAAGGTGTAGCAACGCATTCTGGAAACATTCAGTAAGGGTTTAGAGGGATATGGGCCAAATGCTGGCGAATGGGACTAGATTAACTTAGGATATCTGGTAGTCATGGACAAGTTGGACCGAAGAGTCAATTTCCATGCTGTACAGCTCCATGATTCTAACTGTTGACAAATGGCTCACAGCCAGTAGCAGGTGGATCCATCGCTGCAATGAGATTCTGGCCAATGTCTTTAAGCAATTGATTTACAATGGAATAGACTGTTCAACCATTGCTGCATTTGGTTTTGCTGGATTAAGACACAGCCTTATAATTGTTCCTTTCCAAACCCGATTCTCAGCACAATTTATTAAGAAAAGCTCGTGATCCTTTATATTCTTATTTCTCATGGGTACTGTCATTGATAGTTAATAAGGACATGACAATGTGTAACTGGGAACGAAGCTCAGAATGAATGCATTTCCTTCAAAACAATATATGGCAACTTGTTTTCCATCCCCTTTGTCCAAGATTCCATTTCTTACCTTATTATTGCTTCAGCTAACTGTCTGTCAATACAGCCTTAAAACTAAGGCCCGAATCTTCTACATTCCATAATTTTAGCAAACATCTAAACTGTCAAGTGTAAATGTTAAGCACGACGTTCATGATGTTAAGATTATAAATGTAATTTCTGATTTGAGTAGAGCCATCTGTTCTGAGATAAAGTCTCCTTTATTGATCATTATCCAGTAATCAACACAGAAGAGTAGTAGACAGGTACAGCAGGTCATAAAGAAGGCAAATTGAATTTTGTTGTTTATTACTAAAGGAATAGGGTGTAAAAGTAGAGAAATGCTGGTTCAACTGTACATGAATTAGTGAGACTGCACCTGGAGTACTGTGTTTAATTTTGGTCCCCTTACTTGAGAAGGGATGTAGTTGCATTGGAGGCAGTTCAGAGGGGGTTGATGAGATTGTTTCAGAGATGGAGGTGTTTGTCTTACGAATAGACTTTGAGCAGTTTAGGTATATTGTCTCTGGAGTTTAGAAGAATGAGAGCAAATCTAATTGAAGTTTATAAGATGCTAAAAGGAATTGACAAAGTAGACGTAGAAAAGATGTCTTCTCTTGTGGGGTAATCCAGAAAGAGAAGTCATAGTTTAAGGTTACGGGTAGCAGATTTAAAACAGAGATGGGGAGAAATTAATTCTCTCAAAAGGTTGTGAATCTGTGGAATTCACTACCCCAGAGAGCGAAAAGTGCTGGGATATCATGCAAATTTAAGGAGAAGACAGACAAATTCTTAATTGGTAATGGGTTGAAGGGTTATGGAGAACGGGCAGGAAAGTGGAGTTGAGGGTGAGATGAGATCAGCCATGATCATATCAAATGGCAGAGCACGCTCAAGGGGCTAAACTGTCTCCACATCGGGGAAACCGCTTTGCAGAACACCTACGCTCGGTTCGTACTAAACAACTGCACCTCCCAGTCGCAAATCATGTCAACTCCCCCTCCCATTCCTCAGACGACATGTCCATCCTGGGCCTCCTGCAGTGCCACAATGATGCTACCCGAAGATTGCAGGAACAGCAACTCATATTCTGCTTGGGAACCCTGCAGCCCAATGGTATCAATGTGGACTTCACAAGCTTTAAAATCTCCTCTCCCCCTACAGCATCCCAAAACCAGCCCAGCTCGTCCCCGCCTCCCTAACCTGTCCTTCCTCCCACCTATCTCCTCCTCCCACCCCAAGCCCCACCCCCATCTCCTACCTACTAACGTCATCCTGCCCCCTTGACCTGTCCGTCCTCCCTGGACTGACCTATCTCCTCCCTACCTCCCCACCTACACTCACCTCTACTGGCTCCATCCCCGCCTCTTTGACCTGTCTATCTCCTCTCCACCTATGTTCTCCTCTATCCATCTTCTATCCGCCTCCCCCTCTCTCCCTATTTATTTCAGAACTCCCTTCCCCTCCCCCATTTCTGAAGAAGGGTCTAGGCCCGAAACGTCAGCCTTCCTGCTCCTCTGATGCTGCTTGGCCTGCTGTGTTCATCCAGTTCTACACCTTGTTATCTCAGATTCTCCAGCATCTGCAGTTCCTGCTATCGCTAAATTGTCTACTCCTGTTCCTAGTTCTTATGTTTTAATCTGGATGCACAAGTACATCTGCATGAATCATCCTCTCCTGTTTTGCCATCCATAGTTGAGATGCCTGCCAACCGATACTGTTCAGATGTTTACATGTATCCTGTATACATGTACAAAAACTATTTTTTAAAATCACCTTGGACTACAGAACAAAAGAATGAATAAAATAAACACTATTTGTCTTTGCCATTATTACCTTCATTTTCCTTCAGATTCCATTTCACTGAATCTTGATCTTTCACAGTCTGCACACCATTTTTCCACCTTTTCTCAACAGCATACAACTGCTGAACCTCTTCGTGAAGCACATTTTTAAGTTCCTCGTTTTGCTTCAAAAATTCTTTGAATGTATTCAGACTGTTTAAATGCTTTAATAGGACAAAGTAATGAATTAATAATGCAGCAATGTAACCAGGCAACAGAAACTAAATATACGTAACTTCTAAAACACCTAAATATTACCCAACAGCAGCATCAAGGAAAGCCCGATTATAAGCTGATGCACTGACATCTGTTAAGTAAAATCATATTACATCAGAAGTGAGAATGTTCACTGATCATTCCACATTGCTCGCCACTATGTGTGACTCCTCAAATACTGAACCAGTCTGTATCCATGTGCAGCAAAACCTGGCCACTCTTCAGATTTGGGCTGTCACGCAACATGTACCATTTATGCCACACAAGTGTCAAACAATAATCACTTCCAACAAGAGAGAATCTAACCACTGTCCCTTGACATTCAATGGCATTACCATGGCTGAATCCCGCACATAACATCCTGGGTATTGCTATTCACCAGCTGTATGAGTACTGTGGCAACACAGGAACATGAGTAGGAGTAGGCCATTCAGCCCATCATACCCACCCCGCCATTCTAGATCATTTAGCTGACCATTTTGCCAATACCAATAGCCCCACACCCCTTAATTGGTCATTGGTCTCAGACTTAAACAACTCATTGATTGTACAGCCGTCTGGGGTAAAGAATTCCAAAGATTCACCACCCTCTGAGTGAAGAAATTTCTCATCTCAGTCTTAAATGGTATACCCACTGTCCTGAGTTTATGTCCACTGCTTTGAGAGTCACCAGCCAGGGGAAACATCTTACCTATACCCATCCTGTTATGCCCTGCAAGAATTTTGTAAATTTTAATGAGATCACCTGTCATTCTTTGAAACTGTGAAGAACACAGACGTGGTTTCCTTGTTCTCTCCTCATAAAACAATCCTGCCACCCCAGGGATTAATCTGGTGAGTCTCCAATGCGCTCTCTTAATGGTAAGTATATGCTTTCTTAAATAAGCAGACTGAAACTCTACAGAATACTGGAGATGAGGTCTCACCAAGATTTTATACAAGACATCTTTATTGCTGTACTTATATCCTCTTGAATTGAATGTCAACATACCTTTTGCCTTTCCTATTGCTTGCTGCCCTGCAACTTAGCTTTTAGTGACTCATGAACAAGGACATCCCTTTGGACATCCACACTTCCAAATCTCTCACCATTTAAGAAATCTTCTGATTTCTAGTTTTTCTTTCCCCCAGGGTGAATAACTTCACACTTATTTACATTATATTCACCTGCCATGCTTCAGCTCATTCAACTTAGCTGGTCAAGTCCTCTTGAAGCTTCCTTGTGTCTTTCTCACAACTTCTGTTCCCTCCTCATTTGGTGTCATAACCAAATGTGAAAATACTACAATTTGTCCCCACGATCAAATAGTTTATAGATGTGAATTGTTGTAAACACAGCACTAACCCTTTAAGTGCCCCACTAGTAACAGTCTGCCTCCTAAGAATGATGTTTATTTCTACTCTGCTTTCTGTAAACTGACCAATTCTCAATCCACGTGTTCTCATTTTATTCACTAACCTTTTACATGGGATCTTATCCAAAACCTTCTGAAATTCCAAACACACCAAATCTACTGGTTCTCCTTGGACCATGCTACAAGTAACATCTTCTAAAAACTCCAATAAGTTTGGCATATATGATTTCGCTTTCATAAATCCATGTTGACTTTGCCCAATTTTGCCATTCTTTTCTAATTTTTCAGGTATGTCATCCTTTAAAAAGATTCTAACATGGGCTCAGTGGTTAGCACAGCTGCCTCACAGTGCCAGAGACCCGGGTTTGATTCCACCCTCAGACAACTGTTGGACTATATCCTTACATTGTCCAACACTGGCACCTCCACATCATGTGTGAAGTTTGCACATTCTCTCTGTCTTCCCACAGTCCAAAGATGCGCAGGTTACATGAATTGGCCATGCTAAATTGCTCATGGAGTCCAGGGATGTGCAGACTAGGTGAATTAGCCTTGTTAAATGCAGAGTTACAGGTTATAGGGGGGTGGGTCTGGATGGGATGCTCTTCGGAGGGTGGGTGTGGGCTTAATGGGCCAAATGGCCTACTTCCACACTGTAGGGATCCTATGACTTTTCTTCACTACTGGCTACAAGCTGAAGGACACCAATCTCTTCTTAAATAAATGGATTACATTTGTCATCTTCTACTCAGCAGGAACATTTCCAGAATCTGTAGGATTACAAAATACAATCCACTATCTCTATTGTTACTTCCTTCAACACTCTGGGTGAAGCTCATCTGGTCCAGGAGGTTTATGAACCCTCAATCCAACTAATCTTCCAAGTTCTGAAGAATTTCTGAAGAAGGGCCCCAACCCAAAATATCAACATTCCTGCTCCTCTGGTGTGCTTATTAGACAATTCCTTTGATCTTTGACTTCACTTATTAATCATGGTTGATTCACCTTTTCCTTTGGGTGATTGTGTCTTAGAGGAATTTACCTGTTGTTCACCTTGTTGTATTTCTTTAAATACTAGCCATTTCCTATCAAATTTTTTAGTGTATTTACCCAATCCACTCTAACCAACATACCTCTCCCATCCTCATAGTTTCTTTTGCTTAGATTACACTCAAACATCATGTAAAATTCTATTATATCATGGTCATTATTTCACAAAGATTCTTTTCTAGGAAGGTTATTAATTATCCGTTTCTCAGTATATAACAACACATCCAAGATAGCCTGCTTCCTACTTGGCTCAACATACTGAGACCAATCTCTTACAGAGTCAGTAATTCATCCTCCATTACATCACTGCTGACTTAGTTAACCCAGTCTATACTAAAATTGCCATTAACACTGTATTACCCATGTTACATGTTTCTCTATATTCCTGATTTATAGCACGCATAACAATAGCATTACAGTTAGGTATTCCACAAACAAACATTGTTTTCATTTGCTGTTACTTAGCTCCACCCAAATTGATTCTATATCTTAATTGTTTGGTCAAAGATCCACTCATTTTATTGCAGCAATATCATCCCTTATTAAGAGTGCAACCCCACCTCTTTTCCTTTATGTCTAGTTTTCCTTATTGCAAAATATTCTTGGATAATCAGTTCCCAATCTCATCAATCTTTCAATGAATGCTGCAAACATTCAGATACAGTGGCTTTAATTCAGTTTTTTTAACATTATTCTCTATTTGACAGCAGGTCAGAGGCTGGGCATTGTGTGGTGAATAACGCACCACCTGAATCCACAAAGCCAGCAAGCAAGATACAAGGCACAAATCAGGCCTGTGATAGAATAATCTCCATTTGCCTGGATGAGTGCAGCTCCAATACACTCAAGAAGCTCAACATGATCCAAGACAAAGCAGCCCATTTGATTGACATCCTATTTGCCATCAGAAGAGTGTACCATCTACAAGATGCACCATAATAACAAACCAAGACGCCTTCAACAGCTTCTTCCAAACCTGTGACCTCTAACACCAGGAAGGACAAGGGTTGCAGATGCATGGTAACACCGCCACCTTGACTTTTTCCCTCAAAATTGTACATAATCCTGACTCGAAGCTATTCTGTTGCTCCTTCAGTGTTGCGGGGTCAAAATCCTGAAACGCCTTTCCTAACAGCATAATGGATGCACACAGGGAAGTGGTGGCATAGTGGTTGTGAAATTGCACTGGTCATCCAGAGCCCGAGGCAATTGCTTTCGGGGCATGGGCTCAAATCCCACCATGGCAGCTGCTGGAATTTAAATTCAAGCAATAAATCCAGAATTAGAACAAGTCTAATGATGACCATGAAATCAGTGTGAATTGTTGTTAAAAACTCATCTGTTTCGCTGATGTCTATCTACTCCATTCTGCATGTAACTCCAGACCCACAGCAATGTGATTAACTTTCAAATGGTCTTTCAGGCACTTGCATTGCATCAAACCATTTTGAAGCCTGAGAGGAAGGCAATGAAATTGGACTGATCACCCAGTATTGATCTAGACACAGGAAATGACAATGGCAAACCCAGTGCTGTCAACACTGCAAAGTTCTCCTAACTAACATCTGGGGTCCTGTGCATCTTAGAAGGACAAGGCAGTAGATGCATGGGAGCACCACCACCCACAATCACCCTTCCATGTCACATTCCATTCTCAGTTAGAAAGATAACGCCATTTCTTCATTGTCAAAATCCTCAAATTCCCTGCCAGTGGTTCAAGGAGACATCTCACCACCATCTTCTCAAGGGTGATTTGGGATGGGCATTAAATGCTGGCCTAGCCAAAAACCGCCACAACACATGGAAGAATAAATAATAAAATAACTTTATGGTTAACAATTTGACGCTAGTAGGATCATTTCTTTAAAATTGTAAACTTGATTATCATACCTGCATGTCCAAACCCTCTTGTTCTTCCATTGTGAAACGCAACTCCTGCATCCATTCTCTAAGTAGTTCTAATTCAGCATTTAAGATCTCTCCAGCATCTATCTCATCTGTAAACTTCACTGCATCCACTGCATCAGTTTCCGTTAGCTGCACTTGCCAGTCCGATGAAGCAATCTATTGATCCAAAAATAGAATCTGTCTCAAATTATACATTAAATTTTACATTACTGTTATGAAGACTTCACATTTAATATGTTTGAGTACTTGAGTTTTGAAGTATTAGGGAATACTGATTTATTTCAAGTTCTTGGATACCTGGATTGTTTTATTTTAAGACGGTCAATGCAACGGCACATTGGAAATTTTAAAAAGAATTTCTGAGCAAGCACATAACTAATTACTAACTAATGAGGCTAACTGCTTGGTCTCATCTGCTTGGATGCTATAATGCTGCCTTGCTTGGTTATCATTATGGATAGGTCTACTGAGGGAAAGGCTGTCCAACTCACCTCTCTGCATTTTTGTAACATCTGTCATGCACCCATTGTGAAACCTGATTATACTCTTAAAGAGCATCTGGAAAGTTTCTTGATGCTGTGGTTTCCTGACTAAGCTGTACCTGCCAAGACCCAAGAGACAAGACCCAAGATGTCTAGTGTCAGAATGATAGATCGAAAGCCATCTGAACATTCCACACTTCATATTTTCTCTGTCCAAAACTATCCATTATTGGCTTCATTTTTTACTCCCAACATGAATCTCTACAGATAGCAATTTATTTCTTCCCCTTTACCTGGTATGTAGAGGTGTGTTAACCAGTTTTGCAACTTTGTTGAATAATTTTGTTTTATAATAAATCAATAATTTTAAGTCCCATAAAGAAACCTGACTGATAAATCTTTTTCTCAGTCTCATATGGAGAAAGCATACAACCAGCCAATTGGAAACTGGGTAAGTAATTAACTTTATGTTGTGATTTGTGGAGTAATGGGGTTAGAAAGGAACTGAGCACTCTTCCCATCTGGGCTACAATGTTATCTTGTTCACATTTAATCTCTAGGGTTAGTTATTACTGTAAATATGTAGTTCATAAATGGCACAAAGAGGTCTAAAATCACATTTTTTTTGAGATTTTGTAGACAAGTTACTCATGTTTATACAATCTATTCCCATAAATGAACCCTTTAAGCCTCAGTATCATTCTGGTAAATTTGTGCTGCACCCCCTCTAAGACAAATATATCCAGTCAAACACAGATGCTCAGTGTTGTTATTGTGGATGTTTATAGAACAACCCATAATGATCTATATCCAATATTCACCATTCCCTTTGTGCATTTAATCTGTGGCTGTAGATTACAGGTAATACTGGATGGCAAATGTCTGATTTTTGCAAATCCAATTGGCTACTGTTCATTATATGACTGATTAAATGGTTAGCATTGCCCATACACTCTTTCCTTCACTTTTGATATTTCCTCCCCGTCCTTACCATCCACCCTTCCCAGTACCTATATCTTATTTTCCTCGGTTTCAATTTCAGTCAGAGGTCATATTTAATATATACTCATTAACAGCTACCCTGGGTCTGTACCCTGCCTGCTTCACAACCATTATCACTTTCTCATAAACAAATCTGAAACAAAAAGAGAGCGCAGGAGAAACACAGCAGGCCCAGCAGCTTCTGTTGAGAGTTTAATTTAGATAAGTATGAGGTGTTGCATTCTGGTAAGGCAAACCAGGGCAGGACATATACAGTTAACCATAGCACCCTGGGGAGTGTTGCTGAACAAAGAGACCTTGAAAGCGAGGTCACAGGTAGACAGGGTAGCGAAGAAGGCATTTGGCACTTTGCCTTTATTCATCATAGGATGTATAGGAGTTGGGATGTCATGTTGCGGCTGTACAAGACATTGGTGAGATCCAAAAACAAAGTTGCTGGAGAAGCTCAGCAGGTCTGGCAGCTTCTGTGAAGGAAAAGTCAGAGTTAACGTTTTGGGTCCGGTGACCCTTCCTCAGTTCTTTCGGTTTTTACGTCGGTGAGGCCACTTGTTTGCCTTTCTATACGAAGGATGTTGTTAAACTTGAGAAGGTGTAGAAAAGATTTATAAGAATGTTGCCTTGACTGGAGGGTTTAAGCTATAGGGAGAAGCTGAATAGGCTGGGCTTTTTTCTCTGGAAAATCAGAGGCTGAGGGTGACCTTGTGCAGCCCCTTGTTCATTAGGGGCTTGGATAGGGTGAATAGCCAAGGTCTTTTTCGTAGGGTAGGGGAGTCCAAAACTAGACAGCATAATTTTAAGGTGAGGAGGAAAGATCTAAAAAGGACCTGAGGGGTAACTTTTTCACGCAGAGGGTGGTGCATGTATGAAATGAGCTGCCAGAGGAAATGATGGAGGCGGCTACAATTACAACATTTAAAAGGCATCTGGATGGGTATCTGAATTGGAAGGGTTTAGAGGGATATGGGCCAAATGCTGGTAAATGGGACAAGGTCAGATTGGGATGTCTGGTTGGCATTGACGAATTGAACTGAAGGGTCTGTTTCTGTGCTGTATGACTTTATGAGAGAAAAACAGAGTTTATGTTTTGAGTGTAGTGAGCCTTCATTAGATCCTTCATCAGTCCATTTGTCTTTTGTTTAATGACATCTTTGATTTCCAATTCCTTTCAACCTTTCCTTGACCTACACTTCTGTTCCACTTGCCACACCACCTCTCAACAGCATAAAACTCATGAGTTTCAGTTCTGAAGAGTCATTGGACTTATAATGTTAATTCTGTTTCTCTCCACAGACACTGCTAGATCACCGATTTATTCATTTGCACTTCTTACATGCACATCTTTATATTTATAGGATTTCTAAATCAAATGATATATACTCAGAATTGATATGTTTTACTATGAATATTATTTTATATTAATCATGGTTTATTTAATTTGATATTTTACATATAGTAATTGTACACATTTCTACATATAGTGTACAAATGAGAAATAAACGTCATAAAAATCATGCATGTTTCTCATGTGCACCTCTTTCTAATTATTTTGAAATCAAAGCCAGCGGCAGGGGTTAAATGCATAAAATTATTTAACTGCAAGAAACAAGCAACATATTTATTTCACCAGCATCAACAAATTTAGTTTTGTGCTGAGGTATGCAGAGGCAACAATATATCTATCTACCCATAACATAGTTATATAGTTACATAACTAGAGCATTCCATTGGATTGTTTACTCATTCCTAATCCATGGACAATGCCAATTAAAAAGAGATCAACTTTGCTTTTTTAAAAAGTGCCCGTAATAGAAACATAACTAGGAGTAGAAGTAGGCCATTCGTTCCTTTGAGCCATTTTACCATTCAATAGGATTGTGACTGATCCTCGATTTCAAGGCCCTATTTCCGCTTTTCCCCCATTCCCCCGGATGCCTTTAAAATCTAGAAATGTGTCCATCTCTTTCTTGAATATATTAAGTGGCTTGGCCTCCACAGCCTTCTGTAGTACAGAATTTCACACGTTGACTACCCTTTGAGTGAAACCTTTCCTCATTTCTGTCCTAAATAGCCTGGCCCATAATCCTGAAACCATATACCCTGTTTCTAGCTTCCTCAACCAGGGAGAACATCTTCCTTGCATCTAGACTGTCCAGCCCTGCTGGAATTTTATACGTTTCAATCAGACGTCCCCCCCATCCTTCTAAATACAGGCCCAGTCGAACCAATCTTTCCTCACAGGACAGCCCTGCCATCCCTGGTATCAGCTGAATGAACCTCCGCTGCACTCCCTCTATGGCAAATACATCTTTTCTTGGGTTGGGAGCCCAAAACTGCATGCAATACTCCAGGTGTGGTCTCACCAAGGACCTGTATAACTGCAGTAAGCCAGCTCTACTTTTGAACTCAAATCACAGAAGTATTACAGTGCAGAAGGAGGGCATTCAATCCATAGTGCCTGCACTGGCTGTATTATCCAGTGTCAATCTCCAGCTTTTCCCCTTATCCCTGCACCCTATTACTATGCAAAAAAATGCCAATGTCCTCTTTAATGCCTCAACTGAACCTACCTCCACCATTTCCAGGCAATACATTCCATAGCCTAATAACTCACTGTGTGAAAAAGTCTTCTTTTCACATTATCTTAAAACGATGCCCTTTCATTTTTGTTTCTTTTACAAGCAGAAACAGCTTCTCCCTATATTTACTCTGTTCAGCGCACACACAATTTTGAAAACCTCAATCCTTTTGTAACGAAGGCCAAAATATCATCTACCTTCCTAATTGCTTGCTTTACCCGCCTATCTAATTTCACTTACTGGTGTACAAGGACACCCAGGTTCCTTTATATAATCCACACTTCCCAATTTATTACTTTTTAAAATATATTCTTCCTTTGTTTTCACACCAGTGTATAACTTTATGTTTAGCCATGCTGTGCTGCATCTGCCATGTGTTTGCTTACTCATTCAACTTGTCTAAATCACCTTGAAGCCTCTTTAGATTCTCTTCACAACTCATAACCCTGCCCAGTTTTGTGTAATCAGCAAACTTGGAAATGCATTTGGTTCCCTCATCCAGGTCATTCACATATATTGTGAACAGCTGGGGCCCAAGCACCAATCTTTGAGGTATGCTGCTAGTCACTACCTGTGACTCGGAAAAAGACCCAAATTATTCCCACTCTCTGTATCTTGCCTGACAACCAAATCTCGATCTATTCATATTACCCCCATACCATGTGCTTTAACTTTGCCTCTTTAGCTAACCTTTTAGGAGGGATCTTATCAGAAGTCTTCTGAAAATCCAAATTCACCACATTGACAGGTTCTCCCTTATCTGTTCTACTAGTTACATCTTCAAAACTCCAGTAGTGTTTTTAAGCAGGGTCTGTCTTTCATAAATGTACACTGGCTTTGCCCAACCCTGTTAACGGTTTCTAAATGTAGGAGCAAATTACTGCAAATGCTGGAATCTGTGCTAAAAACAAAACAATGCTGGGAATCACTGAGTCAGACAGCAGCTATGGAAAGAAAGCAAGCTAATGTTTCAAGTCTAGATGACTCTTCATCAGAGCTGAAGTGAAGTGTGTGTGTGTGGTGGGGGGGAGGGGGGAGGTTGGGGTGCGCAGCATTTATGCAATAGTGGAGGGGGTTGCTCGGGGAATAAAGGGTGTTGGTAGTTCAGATTAAGTGATCAGAATGAGAATGGCAGACTGGAAAGAACAGACAGTCCCAATGGAGTGGCAGGAGGGGAGAGAGGACCCGGTAACAGAGAACGTAACAAGTAAAGCTAGAAGAAAGAGAAGGACTTAGTGATGCATATCCACTTGTCTGTCCTCGGCATGCTGCAAAGCACCAATGAATCACAGCAAAAACTGAAGGAGCAACATTTCATCTACAAACTAGGCACTTTACAACCTTCTGGGCTCAATATTGCGTTCAACACCTTCAGATTGTGAACGCATTCCTTCCCTTTCTTTTAGCCTTACTTGTTACATTCTCTCTCCTCTCCCCTCCCCAGTGAGACTGTCTGTTCTTTCCAGTCTGGCAGTTAGACACACCATTGTTCTACCATTCTCACATTCTGATCACTTAATCTGAACTATCAGCATTCTTTCTCTCCCAGCTCTCCAACAAACCCCCACCCCCACCCCCACCCCACTATTGCATAAATGCTGCCTCTTCCACACTTCACTTCAACTCTGATGAAGAATCATCTAGACTCAAATGTTAGCTTGCTTTCTCTCCACAGATGCTGCCTGATCTGCTATGATCGCCAGCAGTTTTTGTTTTCAGAAAGGTTCCCAAATGTTTTGTTATCACATCTTTTATAATAGACTCTAACATTTTCTCCACCACTGAGGTTAGGCAAACTGGTCTGTAATTCCGATTTTTTTTGCTACATTTGCCAAACTCCAATTTATACAAATTATTCTACAGTCTGTAGAATTTTGCAAGGTGATCATCAATACATCCAATATTTCCAGGCCCGCTTCCGTTATTACACTAGGATGTAGATTAGGCCCTGCTGACTTGTCAGCCTTCAAACTCATTAATTTTACCAGTGCCACTTTCTTATTGATGTCTTTCATTTCTGCGCTGTCACTTCGTTCCCTAACATTTCTGGGAGGTTATTTTGCCCTCTTTTGTGAAGACAGAGCCAAAGTATGTGTTCAATGCTTCTGCCATTTCTTTTTTTTAATCTGTTATACTTTCACCTGACTATAAAGGACATATAATTGTCTTTATTAATCTTTATCTTTTCACATATTTATAGAAGATTTTATTGTCAGTTTCTATGAAGCCTGCAATTTTAGCCTCATACTGTATTTTTCACCTCATGATCAAACTTTTGCTGAATGCTAAAATGCTCCCAATCCTCAGGCTTGGTGCTTTTTCCGACGATTTTATATGTCTCATCTTTTGAATCTAATACTAACCCTAATTTCATTTGTATACCATTGTCTTTTTCATTACTTTACAAATCAGATGCTTGAAGCAAGGGTTACTGAGGTTCAGCCTTTATTGCAGGTATTAGTTTTGTAAGTGCCTTCAAGTAATAGTTAGTCATTGTCAATAAAATTTATTTTTCATAAAATGCATTGTATTTTTACCTCTTGTATAATTCTGATAGCTGTTTTTGCTTCACGGATGTGTTGAAATGCCTGTAGAAGTACAACGGTCTTCTGTATGTAGTTATCTAACCATTCAGTAGACACCCTCATTTCGACAGAATGCATCAGGACATTGCGACATTTAATTATCTGAACATAAACACCAGAATCTTGTGTCAAAATGAATGAACTTTTGATGTCTCTGCCTACAATAGAACGCATCATTCATTAAGAATGTCTCCCCAGTTACATAGAGTTTACCATAAATCAATGGCACAATTAGATTTATAAATATGAATGAACTTTAATTTATTTTAGATTTAAATTTTAGTAACCAGTATGAGAACTGTATTTCACAAAATATACAAGAGAGAAAGAATTGTTAAATGTGGAGGTGGAACACCTATGAGGAGACAGTGGCTTCTGAGCCATGGGGTGGAATTTTGTGGGGAATCTCCAGCAGTGAAACAAGTGATTTGGAATCTGTCATCGGAACTAAATTCCAACAATATTGACTTCCAGATTTCATATCTCCGAGTAGCCTGCATGCACCTGCATGACACAATCTCAACTGATTTTAAAGAGACAGTGCACAAAGAGAATTGGAGGTTATTACAAGTTAAAATTTTGTGGATGCTGTGAATCTGATAGAAGAACAGAAAACACTGGAAAAACTCAGCAGGTCTGGTAGCAACTGTGAAGACAGAAATAGAGTCACCATTTCAAGTTGATACATCTTTAATCCAGTTCTGATGAAAGGTTATCAGGTTTTAAGCAAGTATGTGGGCTGTGGAAGGTGTGGGGTTTTGTACAAAAGGGAGGGTCTGTGACAGGGTGAAATACAAGACCGATCGAATGACAAGAAGAAATATGATGTAATGCAAACCCCCAGAGATGGTAATGTACAACAGAAGAAATAAAAGATGGTTTAAGAGGAGGTCTAAGTAGGAACTAACAGGATCAGACAGTTTAATTTACAATTGTTGAACTCAATATTGATTCTTGAAGGCTGGGAAGTACATAGTAGGAAGGTAAGGTGCTGCGTGGCAATGAGTTTAATTTAAACAGTTTGGGGGGCTGAGGATAGAGAGGTCAGCAGGGTGCAGAAATGATTTTGGAGCCACGCTTGTGAATGAAGATGTTGCACAATTGGATCACTCAGTCTGCATTTGGTCTTCCCAATGAGGAGAATACAAAATCATGAGCATTGTGAACAGTACACTTAGGGTATGGGCTCCTGGGTAGTGGGAAAGGAGGAGGCACTTGCCTTGGAAGGTGCTGTGAAAAGACAAGGGAATTTTGATTTGTCTGAGGAGCAGTTGAGGTAGTTATGAAAGAAATATGTCTACTTGATGCTGAAAAGTGGTGGCAAGATGTATTTGATGGTGGCATCATGGTACAGGTAGTGATAATGATCCATTGTTGAAGAGGCTGACAGAAGGGAACGGGAGGAAAAGAGAGTCACGATCATTCTGGGAGGGAGAAGAAAGGGCAAAAGCAGTAGTATAGAAAATAGAATATCAAGGCCTCAGTTAACCATGGTGTAGAGGAATCCTCAGCTGAGGTTATCGGAAATATTGGTAGGGAATCGATCTTGTTAGAACAGATCATAAAATGTTCAAAGCACAGAAGAAGCCATTTGACCTGACAAGTCCATGTCAACAGAAGAAGAAGAATTGAGAGAATGGAAGAGATTATGGGAAGAATTGGGAGCAGTGCGTATTAAGGCTGGTGGATATTTTCACATGATAGCCATTAGAGCCAACAGGAAGCACATCTTCTAGGAGGTGCTGATATTTTCAGATAAGACAGCCTCAACTTGTGGAAGCTATGCTCTTTGTGAAAACACAGGGACTCCGCCTTGGTTCATAACCGCTCTGTTGTGAGTAATGCCTTGTGTGACTTTGATCTCCTTCCGTACATGTTAATTCAAATCATAGTATGTCGTTGGGGCTGTGGATGGTGGTGGTAATCCTAGAATCATACAGCACAGAAACAGACCCTTCGGACCAACTTCTCCAGGCTGCCTAAGTTTCCTAAACTAAACTAGTTTTGTTTGCCTGCATTTGGCTCAAATTCCTCCAAACCTTTACCTTTCATGCACCTATTTAATGTCTTTTAAATGTTGGAACTGTACCTGCATCTATCAATTTGTCTGATAATTCATTCTATACCTCTGTGCGAAAAAGTTGCCTCTCAGGTCTCTTAAATCTTTCTTCTTTCACCTTAAAATTACACCCTCTAGTTTTGAACTCCTGCACCCTCAGGAAAAGACCTTTGCTATTGATCTTATTTATGTCCCTCATGATTTTAAAAACGTCTACAAGGTCACCCCTCAACTTCCTATGCTCCAATGAAAGAATTCCCAGCCTATCCAGCCTCTCCTTATAACTCAAACCCTCCAATCCTGGTAACATCCTTGTAAAGAGATAACAAGGTGTAGAGCTAGATGAACACAGCAGGCCAAGCAGCATCATAGGAGCAGGAAGGCTGATGTTTCGGGCCTAGACCCTTTTTCATCCTTGTAAATCTTTTCTGAACTCTATTCAATTTAATAATATCTTTCCTATAGCAGGTGACCAGAACTGTGCATTGTACTCCAAAAGTGGCCTCACCAGCATCCTGTACAACTGCAACATGTCCCAACTGCTGTACTCAATGGACTGAGCAATGAAGGTAAGCATGCCAAATGCCTTCTTTACCACCCTATCTACCTAGGACACAACTTTCAAAGAACTATGTACCTGAATCCCTAGGGCTCTCTGCTCGACAGCACTCTCCAAGGCTGCACCATTAACTGTATAAGTCCTGCCCTTATTCATCATACCAAAATGGATCTGCTGTCAAACAAGTCCAGGCAGTTTCACTGATTCAGTACAATCTTGTCACTTTCAAGGTTAAAAGAAGTTACATCCAAATAAGAGCTCTCTGTCAAGCACTTGCTAGCAGGCAATGGGACAGCAACAGTTTAGATGCTGCAATGACCACTTTATTGTTCTATTTCACTGGAGTCATGTGCTGGAAATCAAGTCCTGCTATTCCTGGAGTAGTCACAAAAGTTAAAAACTCTATAAAAGTAAGCAAAATTTCCCAATTTGTCTGTCTTTTAGATCATGTTTGACAGAAAGCACAGACCAGGTTTCTGTACTGAAGAAGGATGACTATTTACTATAAATAGATTCTAGCTGCATGTAAGCAATGAATCAAACACCAACACATAATTCTGCTTCTTAAAACATCAATTTCCTTATAAAACTCCTCCTACATACACATATAGACAGGCACAAAGAAATGTGGGTCATAGGGAGGGGGAAAAATTGGAAAGGCAATTCAGTGGTCCCTGTTGACAGCTGAGATGATCCTTTTGGCCTGTCAGGACGTGCTGCTCCTCAATCTTCCTTCTACAGGCACTTTCACTTGCTTGCAGAAAGGTACAGGTTTACACTTATATAATCTCTGACTTATTGGTTAAGGGCCAAAGCTTACAGCAACTGATAATAGAAAATAAATTGTCTTTCTTCAGACTCCAGTTTTTTTTTTGCTGCAGAGAGGATAGCTGTTTCTTTTCTGGAGGTCTGATGGCTTCTGCATCAAACATTCACACCTAGAACTATTTAGCTACCTGGGCACTTTTTGGCAGGCAGAAGGCTTTTTCATCAGCAATGGGTCACAATTCCAAACATCAATCAGCTACTTGTGTGTACAAATGGAGATTGGGCCAGCAACCAGTTCATCTGCAATAAGCTCCCCCACTGCTTGAACAAACTGTGCTGTGTAAACAGCACTTACAATGAGCATAAGATAACTTGATGTTAAATGTACAGTAATCTTTTCCACAATCCTTGTTTTTTTTAATTTTCATATTTCAGTCCACAATCAAAAATACAGAAAAATAAAAATATATGGTCTTTACAACATCTACTTGAACAACTGCTCAAAAATGGGACCAGTTTCAATGGTCAGTTTCCCAAACTTTGGGAAATATGTACTGCAAAAAGTTAATTTGGAGTATAGTTAAGATAAATTTGCAAAGACCTAAATAACATTTCCCAAGGGTATTATTTGAGCCAATAAATATCCAACCTCTGCATTAGCTAATTCCCACCTTCCAAAAGTATGGTTCTCATTGGTTCCAAATGCATTTCCATTAAACTCAGAAGTGGATCTGTTGTAGGCGTGTTGTGCTCCTCATGAAAGAATATTAAAAATTCAATTGTTGGATAACGTAGCAGAGAGTTTGGGGTACAGGCTCCTGAGAGATTAAAAGCAACATATCATGGAGGTTGCAGATTTGGCAAGTGCTCTTGAAGGAGACTTAGCAAGTTGTATTTACACATTTTGTAAAAGGTACTCGCTGTTGCCATTGTGAACCAATGCTGGAGGGAGTGAATGCTTAAGGTTGAGCGTGGATGGAGTTGCACTAATTCAGGCAAGTGAACAGTGTTTTATCAAACTCCTGATAACTGCCTTACAAATGACAGGTAGTGTTTGAGGAGTAACCACTCTCTACCTCTGACCTGCTCTTGCAGCCTCAGTTCTTTATGACGTCTAGTTAAATTTAATTTGGTCTCCAATCTGTTGATGGTGGGGAATTCAATGATGGCAATATCATTAAAAGTTAAGGAAAGATAACACTGTTCTCTCATTGGCTAGGACTCTTGTGACATGAATGTCATCTGCCACTTGAATCGGAGTGCTGTACAGCTTTTACTGTACAGAGAGACAGACAGTCTGCTTCAGTAGGAGTAGATGTGAATGGTATTGGTGGAAATGAATGGTACTGGGAACTGTGCGCTCATGAGCAAACATCCCATTTTTAAAACTTATTTTGGACAGAAAGTTATTGACAAAGCAACTGCAGATGGTTGGGCCTAGGACGTGAAGAAAAATTCACCCATGGTTTCAATGGACTTCAATTTTGTTACGACTCCTTGAATGCTATACTCAGTCAGCTGTTGTCTTGGTATCAAGGGCAATCACTCTTACTTCGCCTCTAGGATACAGCTTTCTTCCATTTTTGTGCTAAGTTGTAATGACATCTGGAGCATTGTTGAGTAGGTGGTAGGTGAGTAAATGTACCTTGATAGCATTATTGATGACCCTACTTTGCTGTTGATTGATGGCATGATGATGGGGCTGTAATTAACTAGTTCTGAGGAAGAGTCACCAGTCCCGAAATGTTAACTCTAATTTTTCTTCACAGATGCTGCCACACCTGCTGAGCTTTTCCAGCAACTTCTGTTTTCGTTCATGTAATTAACTTGGTCGAATGTGTCACGTTTTTGAAGATAGGACATACTGGGACAATTTTCTACATTGTCAGGTAGGTGTTAATGCTGTAGCCGTACTCTAATAACTTGCCGAAGATAAATGAAAAGGGTCCAGTTGAGATTCAATAGGGTATTGTTGACAGTAATACTAATACAAAGAAAGATGGGAAAACCTGGTGATGCTTCATTATAAGAGAGGAGATTTGAAACACAGAAGCAGTGAAATATAGTAGCAAGGAACAAATTGTTTTCAATGATTGTACATCTAAAACAAGGTGAGGTTTATTTAAGAGTTTTGAGACAAAAATTCAGGAAAAAACATTTTTCCCCAAATAGGGTTGACATGCTATGGAATTACTGAAAACCACGTTAATATTTAGGATTAAATAGTTGGTTGACAGCAAAATAAATAAAGGGATCTAAAAACTGGGAAGATACCGGAGATGAATACTATTATTCCTATGGTGGATAAAAACCAACACGGACAAGATGAATCAAACTCTGACCTCCTTTTGCTATTCCTAGGCTGGTATACATAGACAGTCAAATTTATAGTGATTACAACTTACATTTCTGTAGCACCATTCATATACTGGAAAATTGTACAATCAGGAGGACAGAACTGTGTACCAAGTAGGTGTGGGAACAGGAAAAATTGAAAAATTTAGGATACATGAATCCAAAGATACAGTTGAAGGGAAAGGTTTGAAGAGATATTCAGGAGCAAGAGGATGATGACAAGGCAGAGGGAACTGGGCAGCGTATGAAGATACTAATGTACATCTTAACCATCCAAATCCAAAACAAAACCTGCTCACAATGGCAAATACAAAACTATCTTCCTGTATAATTTAGGAAAATATATAGGGTTAAAACCTCCCAGCACTTTTAGGATTAAATGCATTCCCTAGATGGTACTAGATGAAACAGATTAGAAAACATCCATAATCAATTCTTAGCTTGTGCTGACTCTGCTCAGGCTAGTAGTCATGTTGCTACAATTGACTTAGTACTGGTAGAGATGTTGAATGAAGGAAGAGAAATAAGCCAGTGTTACTAATCCTTATAGTTTTCCAACAACAGTAGCCGTGAGTGGGTATGAACTAAGGCTTGGGTGGAAAATGGCCCACGGTTGAATAGCCTGCTTTGCAGACGCAAATGAAAAACGGCTGAGCAATCAAAAGGTTGCCAGTACTCATTAATCATGTCCCAACAGCAGGAGGCTTAGGACGAGGAGGAAATGCTAGACAAAAACAATGCTTTAAAAAAGAGAAATTACAGTCACTTCAGTATTAAGGCTACTGTTAGAAAACATTGATGTTGATTCTCATTGTTCATATCAGCAGGACCTTTGTTAAATCTATTAAATGCTTATAGGAACATATTTACTAAAGGTGTTAAAAGCATTTAGAGATAGAGCAGGGAATTGATATCCAAATGTTAAGAATAGTCACAGGTAACAAAAATGGAGAAGAGGGCTGATCATCCAAATAAACCGCTCTTGTTGTGAATTGCTCCAACATATGTACTGGTATCTATTGCAAAATCAAATAGATATAGACTTAGGTAGGAAGACATTGAGGTGGGAATTAAATCCCAGCACTGATCTAAATGCTAGGCCTTTGCCTCTATATGCCATTGAAAGTTTGATTTCCCAGTCCAGTCTCCCAAAATCCCCCTAAACAGCCATAAACTCCAGCAGATATAAACACTGGATCATCTTCTGAATGAACTAATTTTGATATATTTGAGATAAAGTGCAAAGAAGAAAAGTTAAACTACCAAAAGGATGTTATTAGTCAGACATGTTCTTGTCAGCTCTTCAACTGAATCTATCCATTGCCTTATCCCAGTCTCCTCTTCAGAGAATGAAAGGAGGTTGATAAGATATATAGAGACTAAAAAAATCCCTAAAGATACCTCTCCACCAGCTCATTTAGCTTTGCTCAAAGGAGATTTTGCCTCACATCTCATTAATTCTGATAGAATAAAAACATCACACTTTACAAATTGCAAAGAGTCATTCTTTTTAAAAAAAAAATCTTGATTAGAAACACTGTAGAAAACAGCAGTGCAAAACAAAAAAAAAACCCTCAGAATTTATTAGACAGGTCTTCAAAATCTGCTCCCACTTTCTGACCTACTGCCAACCACGTACAGATAAATTAATACAACTCGCTGACAGATACTGTGTTGACAGGGCAATCACCAGGATGTTCAGAGACACTCTGAACAGCATGGTACTAAGCACACTGCTGGGTAATGCATTCATTTCTAAAACTGATGTACAGCAATAAAATAACCAGAAAACTACCAACATAAAAATTCAGTTTGATAGCAAATACTTTTTAAACAAAAAACTCATTAGAAGTGATTCAAATCAACATATTTGCCTTCATACAGCATGGTTATCATATAAAATCATCTGAAGATATTTGACAGAATGTTAAGACTCAAAATAGACACTAAATATATGTGGTCAATGAAGTAAGATTTAAATAGGATTTTAAAGAAGGAGGAGTTAGAGAAGAATAGAAGCAAAATACTGCAGATGTTAGAAATTTGAAACAAAAGCAAAATGCTAGAGAAGCTCAAGTAGGTTTAGCAGCATCTGTGAAGAAAAAACGAAAAAAAGAGTTAATATTTTAAGTCCAGTATGACTCCCATTCGGAAGAAGGGTCATAATACTTGAACCATGGTCTGTTTCTCTGTCCACAGTTACTGCCATACCTGCCGAGTTTCTCCAGCACTTTCTGTTTGTATTTGAGTTAGACAGGCTGAAAACTTAAGGTAGGGAATTTCAATGTGTAGGGACTAGATGACTGAAAACACAGCTATCGAGAGAGGGGTAAAAAGATGGCTGGTGGAGAATAAACTTCCCAAGAGACCAGATACAGAGGAACTGAAAGTTCTGTCATTGGGTAGGGTTCAAGAAGGTAAGAGAGTTGGAATATGAAAGTCAGGAATGCATTTATACACAAGACTGAATTTAAAACTGGAATACTAGGGGACTGGGAACCAATGTAGATCAGTAACGCCAGGAAGTGGTTGAGCAAGACTTGGTGAGGGTTGGGGATACGGGCAAACAAAACAAAGTGATAACCTTTCATAGATAGTAGGAACTGCAGATGCTGCAGAATCTGAGATAAC